ATTTATTTTTGTGATTAATTGTTATTTTCATAGAAATTTAGTGTTTTTTATTTAAATGATGTCCTTTGACCTTAGAAACATCAGGAAATATTCAAATTTCCCAAAATTTTGATTTAAAATTAATTTTTCATAATTTCTCAAGTTTTTTAGGGTTTTAATTAATTTTGCATAATTTCTTAAGTGAATAATTTAAAATTGGTGGTTTTAATTTAATTTTCCTTGTGTGAATTAATTAGTGGGTAGTTTTAATTTTCCTATGTTAATTTAATTTAACTTTAGTTGATTTGATTATTTGAAAGTCTTATTTTATCATGTTTGGTTCTCGGTTGGTTTAATTTTGATTTTATTTTGTCGGTTTGAATTTTTTTTATGGCTTAATTTTTTATTTAACTTTGGTAGGGTTTAATCATGTTGATTTACATTACTATTGATTTAAATAAAATATGGATTTTAATAGGTTGAATTTTTAATAGTGAACTTATAGGATTAATTTGAATTTGATTCCAATACTTTTAGTTTTTGTTGAGATTGATTGATTTAATTCCATTATGATAAAATTTTAATAGATTTTAATAGTTTGAATGTTGTTATACTTAAATTTAATAGATTAATTTTTTTTATGAAATTAATTTAAACTTTGGTTGATGTTTATTTTAATAGATTTATTTTTTTTTTTATCTTTAATTGGTTTAACTTAATTTTTTGTAGATTTAATTTTTAGTAAAATAATTTTAGTGTATTTGATTGAAGTTAGTTTTAATGACTTTGATTTTGGTTGAAATTAAGCTTAATGGATTTATTTTTGTTGATATCAATCTTATTGGATTTTATTTTTGTTGATGTTGATTTTAATGGATTCTTAAAATTTTATTTTTGATTTTGTTCAATTTTAATTTTATATTTATATTTAAAATTTTAGTTGGCATTCTTTTAATATTAACTTTTTATTAAAGAATCAGCCCCATCATTGCCCAAGGTGAGCGACATACCCAATTTTCTCTTTTATGAACCAAAAAAAGGGTTACCAAAGGAGTCGAGAAGAGAAAGTGCTAAGTGTGTAAGAGTCCTAAGTCTTTAGGGTCAAAAGATTGCTTAGGGCATTTTCAACTTTGTGGGTACTCAACTTATGTCTTAATGACTTTGTTTTAACCAGCTCAATCAAATGTTAAGGATTTGAAGCCAAGCATATGAAACTCTAAGGAGTGAAGAAAAGTTTGAAATTTTATTTTATTTTTGGTTCCACGACTAGTCTTCTAGGATAGCCTCTAAGCCAACCCTAAAGGCTAAGCCCTAGGCTCCAATGAGAGGAAGGGTATAAAGGCTCTCATATAAAAATGAGGTCAACTAAATGTGGAGTTTGCTAACCCATAGGTGAATTTATGGGCTTTACATAGAAATGTGGCTGCTGATATGAGAAATGAAATTGAGAAACTTTTGAGATATACCTAAAAAAGTTATAAAGGCTGATAATTTAGTTACAAGAATGGAAACTGGTTATAGGTAAGATTTAGTTCAGGAACTGGATGTACTTAATGATCAAAACCTATTAAATGTTGCAATACAACAAGAAATAATTTTTTTAAACATAAATCAAACTATCTTAGTAATATAAAAGTTTATAAGAATACAAAATTCTTCAATGGCTACATCAAGCATAGAAGGCAAGCTAATGACATCCTTAAAATTGAAGAAGAGAATGAAAAATGGATCTACTTATAATATGAAATTATTGGTAGTGCAATTAATTATTTTCAAAAAATTTCTCAGAGGTTTGAGGTTAAGCTAAGGGAGATGGATAATGATGTTTTACCATATGTTTCTGAAGTAACAAAAAACCCTCAACTTTGCAGCAAACCTTTAGATGAGGAAATTTGTATTGCATTAAACACTATTGACACCAATAAGGTGGTTGAACTGGTTGATTTCACATCTATATTCTATATTCAATCTTGGAATATAATGAAGAATAATTTAACTGCTATCATACAAAAATATTTTTTGGGGATCTCCATATAAGTACTTTACAAGCTCAATTATTAGTCATATTCCCAAACAAAATTTCAACCATAAATGGGAGAATTTCAGGCCAATCCCCCTCACCACAGTGATTTTAAAATATATCAGTAAAATCCTTATCAGTAGACTCCAACCCATTTTAAATAAGCTGATAAACCCCCAACATATAGCTTTCATTGCTGACAAACAGAGATCAGATAATGCTCTTATTGCTCATTAATTACTTTATGATATGGGTTGAAAATGTAGAGGTGGAATGACATGATGAAAATTGATCTCAGGAAGGCATGTGATACCATAAATTGACAGTTTATTGTTACTGTTTTAAAAGCGAGAGGTTTATTTTGGATTTCTATAACTTGATTTTGAAGAATTTATACAAAAACTATAACTTTATACTTATAAATGGGGCACAATAAGGACATTTTAAAGCTGGGAGAGGATTAAAACAGGGAGATTCAATAAGATCAACTCCTTTCATCTTTATTATTGATTATTTATCAATAAAGTTGAACCAAAATATCAAAACACATATTCTATGGTAGATTAAAAATCAAGAGCAGTGAATCAGCCTCTCTCCTTGCTTTTATAGATGATTTTCTTAACATCTACATTAAAATAAAAATTTGATAAGAATGCAACATTTTGTCTCACTTTGAAAATGTGTCAGGTATGCAATTTAATAAAAGCATGTGGGCAAAGGGATTAAAGTGGAAAAGAAGCATTGGATTACACGGTTTTCTGGCATCAAAATTAGTTACCTCTCTATGAAGCATTTGGGTATTCAGCTGCACACTTTTAGAAGATTAAGTTTTATTTTTGGTGAAGTATTACACAAGATACATAATAAGATATACCCTTCTCCTGTGTGTTCTAAAAGTATCTAGTTTGATAAACAACATGTAAATTAAGTTAGAATGAATTTTCAATAAATTTCTTTGGGTTGGACATGGGCATAGGATTTACTGGAGTACTTGGGATAAGTTGTGTAAGCCAAAGAAAAATTTTGTTCATGGGGTTAGATCCTTGAAACAATCTATAAAGATCAAAATTTGTAAGTTGCGAGCTAAGTTGAGAGAAAAAAAAGGGTTGTGGGCTAGTTTCATGAAGAAGTGATATCTGAATAATCCTCATCTACTCACATGCACTCTTAAATTGGGGGATTCACTGGTTTGGAAAGAACGTTTGAAAATAAGAAGTAGAGTTGAATATATCATTGTTTGGGAGTTGTTTGAATGAAATTTGAGCTTTTGGCTTGACGACTGGTCTTTTTTGGGGCCCTTTAAAGAATGTTGTCGCGGTGAAGTAAATTTTGAGCTTATTTTGTCTGATTTTGGAAATATGGCAATTGGAAAGGGTATGAACTCCATAAAACTTTAAATAATGATATGGTTCAGTATATTATTGATATTACAATTGATGAAATCATGAAAGATATTCTCATGATCAAACGGCTCCCAATTGCTCACTAGCTAAGATTATTACGAACATGTTTCACAATACTTAAGTTGTTGATAAGGGTGACCTGCTCTGGAACACCACACTAAAACCATTTCAGTCTTTTTTTGATTGGAGAATGCACTTTCACTTTCTTATATTGGATGACATACTCAAATTAAAATGCCTAAGATTACCTTCTATTTGCCTGCCATGTAGGCCAAAGGAAAAATTTTTCTCATTAGGACTTCACTATATATTTGGAGGAAGCTTACTTAATGTTTCAACATTTTTCTGCCTATTGATGATTATAACTCTTCAGATCAATGTTTGTAAGGTTGTAGGAGGAAGAACATTAATATATATCTTCTTAATTTCATTCCTTATATTAGCTGTTGGTTTGTTTGGATGGAAATGAACTATAGAAAGCTTCAAGAAGGAACAAATACTGTTGATGAAGTTCTTATAAACATCAAGCCTTTCATTTTTAAAGCCACTACATTCAATAAATCCAAAAAGGTTCTTGTTGGAATGGTGGGCAGACTAAAGGATTTCAATGTTTCATCCTTTTTGGATAGGCATACTCAAATGTTATATTGGATCAAACCTACAAACCCTTATATTAAAATGAATGTGGATGGGAGCTACAACCTTGTTATTGCTGGTACAGGTGGACTTCTTAGAAACCAAGAAAGAGAATGTCTGATTACAATTACTTCCAATTCTATCATATTAATAATCCCATTGTTGAAATGGTTGTTGCTTTATTTTATATCCTTATTGCTAAAAAAATTAAATTTTGGAACCTAATGTTGGAGTTGGATTCTCTGTCCACTTATCTTCAATGTGCTTAAGAATTCGAGTACCACCTCTTTAAGGACAACTTTGTCTAAGGCGATTCGAACCCCAGACCTGATGGGTATTATACCGTGGATGTGAACTAATACAGCATAGATAAATGGACAAAGAATCTAACCGACCAAAATATACCTTAACTCGTATAATAGCCTCCGACTATTTCTTTTAACATATATAGACACACACACACACACACAGCTCTCTCTCTCTCTCTCTCTCTCTCTCTCTCTCTCTCTCTCTCTCTCTCTCTCTGTGTGTGTGTGTGTGTGTGTGTGTTGGTTGATGGGGTTCACTGTAAGTCCCATCAGGTCACGGGTTCGATCCCCAGTGGCGCTGGGTTCTCGAATATTTTGGCACATGGCGCAGGCACTTATTATGGGGTCTAGCGCATAAGAAATCAAAATTTTTCTCTGCTATATATATATATAATGAAAAAAAAAAACCGTAGTCAATTCATCTAATCAGCTAATATATTAACATAAATTTCTATTTTATAAATAGCTAATAAATATTATTTTGTTTATATGTTAAAATAAAGTGACTAATTTTGGAAAATAACTTAATTAAATTAGAGCATGGAGTTAAAGCCCGCAGGAGGTTCTTCGAATTCAAATTTCGAATTAGTGATCAAGTTTCCAACTTGTAGCCAGCGGGGACCACGACTGAATACCAACGGTCTTTTGTGCCGTGACGTCGACCGTTAGGCTTTCCAAGACGCAGTATAATAAAACCTTACCGTTGTCTCAAATTTGAATCCCTACAGAAATATCAAGATCCCGCCTCCTTTCCTTCTCTTGAGGAGAACTAGAGCCTCTAAAATCAGATCCAATCTATCTTCCCGAATTCTCTTCTTCTCCCCTTCACAATCCGAACCCTGTTCACAGAAAGAGATGGCGGCCACCAACATTGGAATGATGGATGGCGCATATTTCGTTGGAAGGAGCGAGATTCTGGCGTGGATCAATTCCACCCTCCAACTTAACCTCGCTAAAGTTGAAGAGGTTGTTTGATCTTTCCAAAATCTCTTCTTTTTTTTAAGAATTATGTTCTAGAATTAGACGATTTGTCATACTTTTTGGTTGAGTTAGAGTTGTTGCTTTGCAGGCGGCGTCTGGTGCGGTACATTGCCAGTTAATGGATGTGGTTCATCCAGGGATGGTGCCGATGCACAAAGTAAACTTTGACGCCAAGAATGAATACGAGATGATCCAAAACTACAAGGTTCTGCAGGATGTGTTTAACAAGCTCAAGATCACCAAGGTTTTCCTGAAATTCCACATTTTATATTTTCTTGACTTTCTATATTTTAATAATATGTGGTGATTTTGGTTATTTTGTTTTTTCTTGAATGTCATTCATACCGTATGCCTACGCCTGTTCATGGATGTGGAAAAAGAACTATATGGGCTGTTTATCCTTGAATGCGTAATAATTCCTTTATACCATTAGAAACATAAGGGGCTGTCTGACAACCGATTTAGCACCGGATTTAAATTGCAAATCCCTAAAATGTTCGACCTTAAATCCCAGATTTACTAAATCTCGCACCGACGGATGTAAGTTTTTTGTGTGAATTTTTGGGATTTAGTGAATTGGTTGCCAGATAGTTTTCAGGATTTAACCTATCTAGAAATTTAGTAAATTCGAATTTATGAGATTTACTAAATTCTAATAACTTAAATCTCATTGGTTGTCAGACAGCACCATATGAACTGTACCATATGGACTGTTTATCCGTTCAAATAAATTTATAAGCAGGGGTCTTTCTAGTTTCTTGATGGCTGTTTTTTCTGATATCCGTTTTCAGCATATTGAAGTTAGTAAGCTTGTTAAAGGAAGGCCTCTTGATAATCTGGAGTTTATGCAATGGATGAAGAGGTATTGCGACTCTGTGAATGGCAGCATACTAAAGAAGTAATTTCTGAAACCCTTTCCTCAGCCCCCTTCCCTTTTGTACTTTTTTTTTTTATTAACATTTGAGATTATCTGCAAGCTATTCCTATAGTCTAACTTTTCTTCTGGTTGCTACTGGATATATCCTAAATTGCTGTTTTCAGGTTTAGTCTCCAAAATCTTATTATGCTTTTTCTTGTTTTTTTTTTCTTTTTGGTTTTGTTTTCCTGCATTTGATCTCTATGTTTGCTCAAATCATTTTAGGCCCAAATATGCTGATCTGTTATTTTTAACAATGAACAATATCTTATTTAACAATTATTTTTTACTTTGATATGAGAATAACAATTATTTATGACTTTGATTTGAACATATTCTATAAAAACCATTGCTGCAAATTTGAAAAGCAAACTTCAAATAAATGGTGCCGAATCTAACAGTTAGATTTGAATATGATTCCATTAAAATTTTTTTTAAAGGAGATTAAGGTTCATCATCTTAATGTATAAAAGGTTGCACTTTTACTTGAGATGTTTCATGCAATAAAAAGCTTTGTAGGACTTTGGTTTGAAGATCAAATGACAGAGATTTGATGATAGAGCAGAACACTACAACAATGAATTCAAGGAATTATGCACAGGGAAGACGCATCCAGGAACACTGCATTAGGTTGGTGTATAAATAAAAATTTTGTAAGAAAGAACGAACAGCACAAGGTTGTATACTGGATTGATTGAAGTATGCTTGATGGTTTTTACTGCGTTTTATTTTTGATCAATAATTGCCCGCTTTTTATTCGTGTTATAAGCTACCAGAAAAAAGTGTCTATGCAGAGATAAGCCTTTTATTGTTTAATAGTTTTTTTAATGTTGTTGATGTGAAATGTGAAACCTAATAGGAGTCACTTCAAGAGTAATAGTGGTAGTTAAAATTATATTTTCATTTTTAAGTGTTGGTCTAGTTATGCAAGAGCATAGGTCACGACAAGTTGACATGTGATCGAGAATATTGAGCCATAAATATGGCTGAACACTCCCAAGCTTGAGTTAAAGAAATCTAGATTAATCTTTACATAAAATACTTTTCTTTGAGGCTGTGGATGAAATGAGCAATTCGAAATAAATACAGGAGCTACGAAATGGTACAAGGCATGTTCCTATGATCAAGGAGGAACACCTCAACAGTTTAGTGGCCGTCTTCATCAGATTATTTTCTTTTCCAAATCTCTTCGAGCTCCACACATCTAGCACTGTTATGAACCAAATATTTGAATCATATTTGTATATCTAGTCTAGTCTAACATGTTTATTTTATCTTTTTGAGCGGCCATGGATGTATGTAATTTCATTGATTCATATAAATCTCTGTTGTTTTTCTAATATTTTCTTATAGATTATTTTTTCCTCTCATGTCCTTAGTTCATTTCCTCGCCAAACGCAAAATTTGAGATTATGATAGATGACAACACCATCATTTAGTCTCACTATGACATTTTACAGAATTAGTGGACATTTACTGAGCATTAGTGTCTTAAATGATATTCCAGCTACAATGCCTTGGAGAGACGAGATTCCTGCAAGGGAGGAAAGGAAGTAAACAGGAAAATCTCAACGACACAAGCATCTTCCAAAACATCATCTATGGGTGCTAGAACTAACTCCTCACTGCCTAACAAGAAAAGTGATACTAGTTCAGCTAATGCACCGCATAAAGCATCTAAACTTTCAACAACAGCTGAAGCAGATATTTATGATGAGCAGGTTGTAAAGATTCATTTCAACAATTCAATTATGTTCTTTTTAAGGGTACTATATGTGGTTTGATAATTTCACAATTATGAATGCAGATTACTGAGATGAAGCTATTTGTTGACAGCCTTGAGAAGGAAAGAGATTATTACTATGCTAAACTAAGAGACATTGAAATACTCTGTCAAAGTCCTGAAGTTGAGCATTTGCCAGTAAGAGACAAAAATGCTTTCTCTTTCACTATATTTTTATATTCTAATAATGTTTTACTACAAACAACTATTTACTGTCATTTCCTTGCTCAATCGCTGCATAGAAAGTTTACAACTACGTACAGACCATACCACCTAATTTTTATGTATTTACATATCTAACACCTAAACTTTAATTTTTACATTTACATCACCCAAATCTTTACATCACATTATTAATATCACCATTTTAACTTTTAAAAAGTGAAATGAACCTTTTCATGCATAGGTAAGGTGTTATGTTGGTAAAAAATAATGTTTTAGTGTTAGATATGTAAATACATAGATATTGAATGGTTTGTGTTTAAATCTTCCAATAAAGAAGCATTATTTTTTCCTCACTACTTTGTGACATAGGAATACATAGGATTCAAATGGTATATGTAAATCTTCAAAAAACAAAAAAAAAAAAAAGCATTATTTTTTCCTCGCTACTTTGTGACATTTGACATAGTTAAAACATAGAAATACATAGGATTTAAGTGGTACATTTAATCTTAAAAAAAAAAGCGTTATATTTTTTGCACTACTTTGTGACATTTGACAGATAGTTAAAACTATTCAAGCGATATTATACTCCACCTATGATAACGGCTCTCTCTTGGAAGAAGCACAATTGATGATATCGCAGAAAGATCAGCATTCCTTGAGTCCCATCTTAGAAAATTCAGCGGAGCAAGTGAAACAGGAATCACAAAAGAGAAAGATCATCTCAAGTCCTGAATCAGATGTGTTCAGGAGCTCAACAACATCAACATCACAAAGACAACGCCTTTCTGATATCTCAGAGTTTCATCACTGTGAATCGCCATTAACAAATTTCTGAAGATCAAATTCCAAGGAAAGGTTTGGGGCTTTATAATGAATGCTAGATTGTATTCTGCTTTTATATTGTTTGTAAAGCTAAGTTTATTGCTTCCTGAATGTTTCTTTTATTTATTTATTATTATTATTATTTTTTTTTTTGGCAGCTTAATCAACCGGATGTGAAGATCCAGGTTATGTCTAACTTTGAGGCATCTGTTAAATGAATCATTTGTTCGTTTGGTCATATTCTTGCCTAAGATAGAAGACAAGCCTTCTACTTGTTAGTTTTTGATGTAGTAGAATTAGTCTTTAGTTATGAATTGTTTTGCAATTTGTGTTTGTTTTGTCAAATTAAACCATGTCTAGTGGAAGTGGGATTTTTCCCTACCATTTTTACATATTTACCTCATTTGATTTTTTTGGCAGTGCTTACTGTTTTCTTTTGGATATATTTACCATTTTTGGTATTGTTGAATTCAGATCTATCCAGTGAATCACACCCAAGGAATAGAGTGTAGTAAATAATTGGTTCTTTTAAGAATGGCCGATTAATTCTATATTGTAGAGATGACCCTCCTTATTTATAGTAAAGGGAGTATGAAAAGAAAAATTACTTGTTTGTCACTACTTTTAGTTTATGTCCAGGTTTTGGAGTGCCCTTAGAGTGACACGAGTATGCAAACTTCCCAGATGTAGGGTGTGGAGCACAGGTTTGGCAGGCCGAAATCCCTTCGTTTGATTATTTGGCTCCCCAATTTTTTATCTTTTTCTTCCCCAAGTGGCTTAATCATTCATAACCTGCACAACATAATAAAACACCTTTCCCACTATTATCATAAACATGCAATTAAATATGAATTCTAACATTTTTCATCTACATCAAAACCTCCCAAACTTACCTATTACTTGCCCTCAAATCATCTCAACAATAAACTCATATGGATGAGGGTTGTCGTTCTTGTTCAATAAAGTTATGTAATAGTCAATACAAGTTTTGTAAATTCCATCATTGATTTAATTCATATGTTGGTCTCTAATAAGCAAAACTTTTCCTTAATTCACTTTTTCTCCTCAGCATAAGCAATTCTTAACCCACCCAATTGTGTGACTAATATATTTTCATTAATCAAAAGTGTTTTGAAACAGATTAATTATAAATTAAACAACCTCATGGCCCTTAATTTCTTCCTTGCATGTAGGATCTCAATATTTCATTACAAGAGTGCTCAAGTTATATTAGCCAAGAGAACGAGCTATACACTTAAATGCTTAACCCGAAGCCTTTTCTCACATATCTTTTTTTTTCACTATTTTTTTCTCTTTTATGATCAAACTCTTTTTTGTTTCTTTAACCCCTCATTTCTTTTTTTTGTTTTCGTTTTATTTTTCCATTGAGAATTGTTTTTGTTTTATTTTTCCATTGAGAATTACAGTATCTGATTAAGCATGGATTTTGAGAATTCTGGGTATCTGGTCTTACCTACCCAAGTCATATTCCTTAACAACCTTTTAATTGAAGTTCAAAAAATCTCATAATTTATTCTAAAATTAAGTTTTAATCCTATTGTTTGAGTTAATATTTAAGGCTTAAAATTTCTTGATTAATTACTCATCTTTATAGACATGCCTAAAAATTCCATGTTAGGATTGGAAAAGATTAAGTAGGGTATTTGATTATTATTTAAATAACTAAACTCAAATTGCAAATAGAACTTCACATTATTTTCAAAGTCATTACATCCCATTACCAAATTATAAGATCTCCATTATAAGTGACTACCAAAAACATACAGTGTGAGCAAAGAGATGAATTTAACCTTCAAGCATGGGTATAGGTGGAGTTTCTCCTCCAAACTGTTTTTCTGACCTTAGCTCATCACATAATAACTGCACAAGGAGAGTAAATAATAAAAACATAAAGTAACACATCACATATGTGCAATAGTAACCGGAGAGGGATTAATATCGCGCAAGAATAAGCCCACATATCCAAATATCCGGAAAGTTGAACTAAAATATAAACATTACTAAACTCCAAAATAATAATCACGCAAGTGAGTCAATATGCAAAGTACCCTTACAATATCTGTAAACATGTCATAGTCCACAACACAACCAAAATATATACATCAATGAAATGCAATCTCATACCAAGTTCAAGCAAAACCACAACAAAAATGGAAAGAAAGGTAGGTTCAGCCATCCGCCCCATCATCATCATCTTGCTTGGCATCCATGGGCTCGCACAAATTGTCAAACAGCTCCAACGAGGGGTATAACAGGGTCTGGACAGGTGTTCCTGCCTTCTCTTCAGGATAACTCCTGCAGGACAACAAAGTATTGATGCATGAAGGCATACTGCTGCTGGTGTAGAAATGCAACCTCACGTGGAGATCGTGCATGCTCCCACTGCATAAACCCGACATCCGTGGATAGGGGCTCTAGACAAGCTCTCCCACCTCTGATGTGCTGGCTTCCTCTCGTAGGAGAAGCTAATATGCTTGGTGGTACCACCACTGACTGTGGCTAAGGGAGATTGATAGATCGAACAGACATTGACTGACTTGCCCGTTTGAATGCAGTATCTCAACATGATGCGATCCTTTGTCAGATTGGTGGCTTGTTCACAGCCATGCTGGGGAATTTAAAAATTTTCTCGTACCACACACGCCACTGGTAATGTAGTTGGTAAGAAAATTGACATTTTTCTCATATTTTAAAATCAAGTAGTTGGAGTACTTGTAGTTTGGAGGCTGACTAGCTCCAGAAGTGAGTTAATCATGTTGGAGTCGAACGCGTACCGCTTCCCCTGCACAAATACCTAGTCGTTTATGGGTTCCTTTAGATTGAAGAACTCACGGATGACGACAGTGTAGCAGAATTGATCCCAAATCTGGACAACAATTTGCCCCTCAACCTAGCCTCAAGTTTCTAGAAGCACATATTCGGGAATCAGCTTCTAACGCCTTTAAGCTAATGAACTTTTTGTTGTCGAAGGTTGTTTCTTTCTTTCTGTTGGTCTTCGGTAACATGAGGCTCAAGATTATGGAATTGAAGGGAACAACCAAAGCTTCATCATCTTCCTCTTCCTTCTCCCTTGGCGTTGGCTAGGAGGCAAGTCACGGGTAAAGGGAGATCACGAATGGCCACAGTAAACAGATCATGTGGAGGGGGAGATCATGAATGGCTTATTAGCTACTTCGGCCTGCCCTTTTGTTCGAAGTTTATGAACCGAAACGAATTTTAAATCAATCCTAAAACCTTCTCCATCGGTCTGAATCGCGTAAAACCTTCTCCATCGGTCTGAATCGCGTCCCATTGTTGGTAACGATGACCAACGACAATTCATATCTACAAATAAGATTCGACCAACTAAAATTTTGAACCGCCTCAAGCGGTTTAGCCTCCACAGTCAGGAGAAACTTTTGCTAATCCTTTCATGGAGGAAAATGTTCTATAATGTCCTACCCCCAAGTAGAGAACGACCATAGGCTAGCGGCTCAAGCTTTCCAGCTGATTGATGATGCAAAGGTGCATGCTTTTGGCACTGCATGTATTTCCTCAAAAATTTCTCTGCATTCTTCAGATTTGTGGCTCAGAAGTACCCATATCGTTGCACCCGATAGGCAAAGTCTTCCCTCCAGAGTGACTTCCACATTTCCCCGAGTCTACTTTCCAGAGGATGTCTTGTATTTCATCTTCCTTCAGACACTTCAAGTACACTGAAGTAACCAATCGCCTGAAGACTTTCCTTCAATCTTTAATTATAGTGTTACCTTGATCTTGAAGTGCTCAGATCTATAATGTCGTCCAATATTTTCCAGTCTTTAGATAGAGGATGCATGGATCCATCGAACTTTTTGTTCCTTCGTTCGTTACCTCCATAGTCTCACGCTCTTATATTGTCGGTCGAGTAAGTCTCTTAGATATCCTACCCCAACAAGCGCATTTGGATAAGATATTAGTGACATGATTTTCCTCTTGACCGACATGCTCGATTCTGTAGTTTCTGAATCTTTCAATCTCCTCTATCTTGGCGAGGTATTTAGCCATTAATTTGTCTCTTGCTTCAAATTACTTGTTGACTTGATTTATGATCAGCATCGAGTCTGATTTCACGAGTAAATCAAGAGCGCCTATTTAATGTGTCAAATGAAGCCCGACAATCAAAGCTTCATTCTCCGCTTGATTATTTGAAATATTGAACTACGAATATCAATTGATAAAGATGTTCTTCGACCAAACTGTTTATAGTCAGTCCCAATCCAACGGTCGATTGTTTAGGAGCTCCGTCTATGTGCAAAATCCATGTTCGATCACTGATAGGATTTCCCTTGCTTAATTCCTCTATTTCAGAAAAATCCGCCAAGAAATCTGCAATCGCTTGAGCTTTAATGATTGTCCAAGGAACGCAAGTAATATCATACTTGCTAAGTTTCATTGCTCACTTCAGCAATCGACCGGAATGCTCTGGTTGTGTGAGTACAGACTTTAACGAATGATCAGTAATGACCCAAATTAGATGCATTTGAAAATATGGTTAGAGCCTGCGAGCGGAAATAATCAAAACAAATGTTAGATTTTCCATAATTGGTTACCCGATTTCGATGCCACTCAGTATCTGACCGGTAAATAAATCAGAAATTGCTTCCCAGCATCCTCTCTAACCAGTAAAGAACTGATAGACTCTCATTTGACTCAGAGATACAACGATAGTTCCTATGCTGACTTCAGGCTTTGAAGTAATGGTGGCATTGGTAAAGAATTTTTCAAACTCTTTAATGCCTCTTCACACTCAAGCCTCCACTCGAAATGCTTATTTTTCCTTAACGCCCTGAAAGCACATTTGTCACCTAACTTTGAGATAAATCGGCTGAGCCACGTTATTCGACCCAGTCAAACTTTGAAGTTCTTTGGCATTTCGTGGAGATGACATATCCAAAACTTCTTGTGCATTTTAGGGTTGGCTTTTATTCCCTTGCAAGTTAAAGAAAAACCTAAGAATTTGTCGATAGATGCTTTAAAAGTGCATTTCGAGGGATTTAACTTCATATTAATATTTTTGAGTGTTTTGAATGTTTCTTTTGAACCTTCTATGTGTTGTTCGACCGATTCACTTTTAACTAAGACATCATCCATATACACTTCAACGTTTTACTCTTTCTAATTTGTGAAAAATACATTCATGAAGCGCTGATAGGTCGCCCTAGCATTTTTGAGCCCAAAGGGCATTGCTTTGAAACAAAAAACACCTTGAGTAGTAATAAAAATTGAATTCTTTGCGTAAGTTGGATAAATCTTGATCTTGTCGTAGCCATAGAAAGTATTAAGAATACTTATCACAAAGAACCCGACTGCTGCATCTAAAAGTGTGTCGATCTTGGGCGATGGATAAGTATCCCT